CTTGCTGTTTATTTAAAGTTCCTCCCGCAGACCTTCTGGTCTGAGCCCAGAGCTTCTCCCCAACCACTGGCCTACCTCCTCCTTGGAAAAGATCATTCTTCTCTTCCTAAATAGGGTAGTATAGCTGAAGACCAACATGGAAAATTCTATGGGGAAGAAAAATACTGTGATTTTCGTGTCCAGACCAAAGAATCTCTCATCTAGAATCCTTACATGCACAGGGATAGAGAACCTAAGAGAAATACCTCTTCTTCCTTCTCTCAAGCCACGGGAGATTCCTATTCTGAACTCACCAAAGCTTTTTTCTACTTCTGAGACTATGAGACATGTCGGGGACCACTCAGAAGATAAGAGCTCTCTTCTAGCCCGAGTCAACTGAACTGCTCTACTCTTTGGGGACTGCAGAGATTGGCAGGGGTGGGAATGGGGCAGAGAAAGCAGAATAGACAATACAAGGAAGGAGATGAAGAGATTAGAATGAGGAAAGAAGAGAGCAAATGAAAAAGACTCCATCCATGCAAAATGCTCAGACTTTCTCTTAGAGAAATCCAAGGCAACACAGCGTACATTCTGATTCCAACAGAGCTGCAGGGCCTCAGTCCTACATCATCACTTCTATTTGTGCAGAGCCATAAAGAATGAAATCTTGCCAGATGAGGTTGCTCCTGCCTGTAATCCTAGTTACTCAAGAGGCACAGATCAGGAGGGTCATGGTTTGAAGCCAGCCTGGGAAAATAGTTCGAGAGAATCTATTTCAAAAGTACCCAAAATTAAAAAAAAAGGGGGGGGATGGTGGAGTGGTTCAAGTGGTGCCTAGCAAGTGTGAGGCCCTGAGTTCAAATCCTAGTACCCCCCCAAAAAAAGAATGAAATCTTTGCTTACTTATATCTGAGCACGTTAACTTCTTACACATCTTTTTACACATCTTCTTGTTCCCCTAAATTTCCTGTCTCCTGCTCATACTCTCAGCCTTTTTCCAGATGCTGCTGTGGTCGCAGAGTCCTTTTAAGCCTTGCTTGAGTCTAAATTGGCCACTGGGGCGACCACTCTGTCTTCAGCTAGCCCATGCACACTTAGGGAAAATAGTATTAACACGAGTGTTCTGTCCAATCCCACAATTTATCAGGCAGTAAAATGCAAAACAAATTCTGTGCTTTTATTTATTTATTTTTAAAATTTTGATACTGGGTCTTACTATGTTGCCCAGGTGGCCTTGAACTATTGGACTCATGGGATTCTCCTGTCTTGGACTCCTGAGTAACTGGGATGACAGGTGGTCCTCACCATGCCTGGCTCCAATCTTCCCAGTTTTATTTCACATTGGTTTCCAACTGGAAGAATTCAAGCACCAGGTAAATATCTTTATTCCTATTGTTAGTCTGCAGGGGCTTTCCACAGCTGACAAAATTATGCTAGGCTACTAGACACCTGTGTTGGTCTTCTGCGAACAGGATGGCTTTTTATAGCACCAGCTCAAGGGGGCACCTGGATACCGATGCTCTTTTTCTTGCCTGTCCAACTAAAACAACCGAGTATCACTCTTGTCTGGATAGGGACTCCTGTGTCTTAGCTGTTCTGTGTCTCTTTTTTCTATCCCTCTACTTCCTCCAGGGGGTCACTGTGGACTAAAACTGTGGGCTAAAAACTTACTAATGAAACGTTGTTTTCTGACACCCTGCCCCTCTAGTTCCAGGACAAGCACTGGTAAATCTTACATGAAAATCAAAGGCAGTGCACGATGGTGCACATCTGTAATCCCATCACTCTAGAGGCTGAGGCAGGGGGACTGAGTGTTCAAGACCAGCCTGGGCTGCAAACTGAGACCTTATGTCAAAAACCAAACTAGGACTGGAGGTGTGGATAGAGCAGTAGAGCACTTGCTTTGTAAGTGTGAAGCCCTGAGTTCAACCCAGCCCCACTAACAAAACAAAACACAACCCTTCCTAAAACAACAACAACAAAACAAGTAAACATTAGGATACATATTTGTGATCTAGAGAAGCAGGATAATGGCCAAAGTAGGAGTCCAAGGATATAGCGCCTGTAGCAAGAGTAGCACCTGAAATCATAAGAGGTGACTTTTAACTATAGAATTGAAACCAGGTCTGGGAAAGAATTCAGGAGCATTAACCATGTCTATAACATTTGATTTCCAATGCTGAAGAAAAGTGGAATGTATGTTGACTTTGGGAATGGAAGCTCTCTTGGGATCAGAGAGCCTACAGCCACAGTTACAAGGAAGGATTGGGAAAGAAATTGGGAAATCAGAGGAAAGCCTGGATCCTGCTATTAGGAGCTCCCCAGGTTCCAAATAAGCTGAGTTCTCTTTGTAAGAGAAACATTGGACCAGAACAGCAAAAGAAGGGGAAAGAAAGATCCTGCTTAAATTCTGACAGGCGTTGGCCAAGCCCGGCCTGATCTCAGTGAAAACATAACTGGGTACAAACATGCCCCAGGTCAACACTGCTATAAAAGCCACCGAACAATGAAACACACCGGCAAGAAGAGGGCAGTGCCCAAAAGGCACTAGCTAGAAGGAAGAGATGGAGCCACCTGAAAACAAGTACGTGCTGCCATCTTAACCAAGTCTCTTTGAGATCACGCAGCGAGAGGGGCAGACAGAAGCTGCAGTTATACAAGCAGCAGCCTCATTGGACAGGATGAACCATGCACTGCACAGGCACTGATACTCTGACAAATAACCCCAGACACATGGACTCTGTTTTAATCTGAGACTAATGTGTTCCACGCCCATTGTAAGTTTGGACACGTACACGAATTACATTCTTTAATCCTAAGAGCCTAAGAGTTGGGTATTATCAACATTATTTTCAAAGAAGAAAAAGACTCAGGGAGGCTGAGTAAACTGCTCAGTGCTATTTAGCTAGCAAGTGGCATAGCTCATATTTGAACTCAGAGCCTATGAGATAGGGAACAGTGCTAGAAATGACGAGACTACGTAGGGAAGCTCCCTTAGGTTGCAAGGAGAACAAGACATGGGCAATAGGCACTTACCTAGGTAAAAATCTCTCCCCTCTTTTATCGCAGAGTCTAGCATCATTCCGGGGGTTGTACCTTAGGGGTCGAGTGCCTGCTTACTGTGCACGAGAAGGCCTTGGGTTCAATCTCCAGCACCGTGAGGGTGGAGAAAGCCTAGACTCCAAGTCACTAACTTACAGCATTGGTTAGGGGTCAAAATGCTTAGAATTGGCAAGAAATATGATGGGCCTCCAAGGAAGGCCCAGAAACAGGAGCACAGAGGCTGAAGGCCTCTAAAGACAAGATATTTGCTTTATCTCCTGCTCCTCAACCATGGACAGCATGACATATAGGACCAAGAAGGAATTTGCTGCAAAGATGCTACAACCATTGCTGGGCACAGGTGGCTCATGCTTGTAATCCTAGCTAGTTGGGAGACTGAGATTGGGAGGATAGTGGTTCAAGGCCAGCCTAGGCAACTAGTTCTCAAGACCCCCCCCCCCATCTCCAAAATAACCAGGGCAAAATGAACTGGGAGTAGAGCACCAGCTTTTCAACTGCAAAGCCCCGTGTTCAAATCCCAGTCCTACACCCACACAAAAAAGATGCTACAACCGGACAAAAGTGAGAAAAAGCAAGTTTCTCTGTCCTCTCTACATTTTGATGAGGTAAATTCATAATGCCCTGGTAGACTGGGCGTTTGTGCTGCAACAGGCATGCATGAAGCTGGATTTTTTTTCATTCCCCTTTAAAATACATTAAGAAGTATATTAAAAGTCTAAGCCAGGTGCTGATGGCTCATGCCTGTAGTCCTAACTACTTAAGAGGCTGATATCAGGAGAAATGTAGTCCAAGGCTAGTATCAGGAACTGGTGGAGTAGCTCAAGTGATAGAACACTTCCATAGCAAGTGTGAGGCCCTGAGTTCAACCCCCAGCACTACTTAAAAAAATGAATCAGACTGGGCAAGGTGGTTTGCATCTATAATCTTAACTACTCAGGAGGAGGATCCTGGTTTGAAGCCAGCCTAGGCAAAAATCTATCAAGACCCATCTCAATAAATAAGCCAGGTATGGTGGTACATGCTTGTAATCCCAGCTATGTAGTAGGTATAGGTAGTAGGATCTCAGTCCAAGTTTGGTACTGGGCAAAAATGCAAGACTCTGTCTGAAAAATAACTAAAGCACAAAAGGGCAGGGGGCATGGCTCAAGTGGTAGAGCGTTTGCCTAGCAAACACAAGGCTCTAAGATCAAACCTCAGTACTACCCCCTCCCCCTCACCAAAGTGTATCAGGCATGGTTAAAAAAATTATAGATAATTCCATGATGGAAAAAGAACAAGAGACCCAAAGATATGATTTCTCATCGTTTTGTATAAAATAAAGCACTCAAATGGCTAGCTGAATTATTCACTTTATACTTAAAGGTCAGCATGAGGAAGAATTATATCTCAAGCTCTTTTATAACCAAACACTAATGTCGAATAAAGGACTTGGCGATTATTTACTGATAAAAGCATTGGTACCAAGCCCTGAGCTGGTGGCTCACACCTGTAATCCTAGCTACTTGGGAGGCTGAGATTGGGGCTGGGCGAGGGGGATTGTGGTTCAAAGCCATCCTGGACAAACAGCTTGTGAGACACCATTTCCAAAATAACCAAAACAAAGTGGAGTGGGGGTGTAGCTCAAGCAATAGAGTGCCTACTTTACAGGTGGGAAGCTCTGAGTTCAAACTCTAGTCGTCTCACCAAAAAAAAAAAAAAAAAAAAAAAAATTCTCCTTTCTGCATACTGATCCAAAAAAATGAGGAAAGGAATGGTCTTCAGAGAATATCACAGTTCCTAAGCATCATCTCTGGGAGAGAACGGCTCTTCATGACTTCCCCTCCTTTCAGGGCTACAGATACCATAGTTTTCCCATCAGACAAAAACATACCAGTTGGCTCTCCAGAAATGTACCTTTCCTAGAAGCTGGAAACCCTGGCCACCTTCTTCCAGTTCCCCACCCCTGAAATGGCCTTTACCTTCCACGGGGGAGGTTTTCAGTCTACTGCATATGTTGAGTACACCTCCATAGCGGACATTAATCTGGGCCAGCGCATCGGTGGAACGCAGCTCCATAAGCTTCCTCAGGTCCATTAATGTACAGCCAAACTCCCCTCCACGGCTCTCGGCCACCGAGTTGGCCGGCAAGGAATGTCCCGATGGGGTCGTCATTTTGCCTGCAGTTACCAGTCCCTCAACCAGAGAAGATGTGGAGAGTCCCTTCAACGGATCAGTGTCTCCTGCCTCCTTGTCCTGCTTCCTCCTGTTTCTTGCTTGTCTTGGGGGGTCCAGTTAGAAAATAGATCGACTATGTCTTGTGCAACAGGCTTCAGAGTAGCAACCCCAAGCCTAGATCTTTCCTTCTGTATGGAGCCTGGCAGTGAGAAGAGGAAGAGGGTGGGGGAACTGAATAGAAGACGGACTTCGTGTCGCAATGACTGGTGTCCCCAGAAAGGGGGGGGTGTGGTGGACGTGGTTGTCCAGGGTACGTAGGTTCCTAGCTTACACTGACTTGCCCAGATGGAGGTGGAACACCGTGGAGGTCACCTTAGCAACAACCGGCAACTGTGGTGGTAGAGCAGGAGGAGGAGGAAGAGGAGGCCTCACTGGATACGGATGACAACTGGATGTCTGGAATAAAGATTCAAAGATAGACACAATTAGATCAGTCATGGGGATCTGGCATCTGTGACAGCAAAAGGTACTCATTCTAGCACAAGGGAGGTGATGGGGTCTGGGCCAAACTGATAGCTGAGGCCCCAGCTCAGTGAGTCAGTGACCTGACTCACGGGGGTCCCCTTCCTCCTGGGAGGCCCCAGTAGTCCGTAACTACAACACAGAGAAGTTATTTCGGACACATCCGAAACCAAGCCACACACAAATCCTACAAATTTAGAAACCTGCAAATAAAAGGTTACAACCTCTAATGTTTTGTCAACTTGAGGGGCCTGTGACAAGGTCCTTTGGTCTGACCTTACCTGTAAGAGGTGAGAACAAGTCAGAAAAGGAGTCCAGACCCATATGGTCTAGTGGGTGGCCTGCCAGTGTGCCACCATCTCCCATGTCCGCCACTTCCCCCCACTCTCAATACAGATATTTACAGACCAGGAGGACAGCCTGACAGATGACATACAAATCCTCCAAACTCTCACAACCCTCGGCCTTCAGCTGGATGGAAGTCTGGCAGCCGGTGCAGCTCTCAAGCAGTCAGGCACCAAGATCTGGTGTTGGGACTAGGCCCCACCCCATCCCAGGGGCTTTGGGGGAGGAGAGAGTAAAATGCTCTCGCATGTTATGATACAGGGTGCAATCATGTCTGCTAACGGAGCTCTGAGGAGAAAAGATAGTGAGTTTGAAGCCCCATGAGTGTCAAAGTTTCTCTAGTGTGGGAGGGATAAGACAGCTATCAGCCCAGCTAGATCACAGGCCCCAGCAAGGTCACCAGGACAGACCAGCCAGCCTGTGTGCGAGGGAACACCAGGGCGCTCACATCAGCATCAGCACAGTGAGTTAATGGGAGGCGGCCGTTTCCCCCTCAGCAAGACAAATGTTACCTCCGCCACAGCTGACTAAGGCGTGGGGGCAGAGCTGTGTGTAAGTGAGGATGTGGGGGGCTGGAGGTGGGTGGGAGACTGAGTGCAGCCCTGTTCTCAGCTTCAGAGAGGGGCTGGCTATGGGAGAAGCTCTTCCTGAGTGAACAACAGAACATGTGAGCCCAGTCCTGGCCAAACAGCCCCCACTGCTTCGAGATAGGAGCTCTGGTCGGCCTGTCTACTAAACAGGTGCCATCCTTGCTTCTAGCAGGTGAACAAAGCAGCACACGAATTATCAGATAAGGCCTTGATACTTTATCAGTTACATTACCCAATCACATGCGGCCAGAGTCCCTGCTACTTCTAATCAATGCTGTTTCTGCAGGTTCCTTTGGGATGGGGTTGTTACGTCCTTCCTTCCCCAGGGCATCCCTGCCGCCCTGTCCAACTGCTCTGACTTACAAAGAGTTAAGCAAGCAAGGTTTTGTCTGTGTTAAATATCACACTCCTCCCCCTCCTCCCTTTTTAAGATGTCATCAGGGAATCATGGAGAATAAGGTTTGAAAAGAACCTGAGGTCCTAGGTCAAAACCTCCTCATTCAGACTGGTGTAGTGGTATAGAAACAGACAGGACAAAGTGGGGCAGGGGCGGAAGGGAGAGAGGGGGAGGGAGGAAAGGGGAGGGAGGAGAAGAGGGGGAGGGGGAAGGAAGGGAGAGGGGGAAAGAGAGGGAGGCCACATTCACATAACTTATATTAAAGTATGTTGTGATAACTGTTAGTTTGTCGTTAGTTATTGTCATCAATTTATGAACTAAATTTATCAGTATGTATGTTTAGGAAAACGCATGGTGGATATAGGGTTCTGTACTACTATACAGAATTTTACTTTTTCTGTCTCTGTCCATTACAGTGTTTGTTCCACGAGGTCAGGGAATTCACCTGTCTTGTCTACTGCTTGCTTCCCAGTGCCTAGCAGAGAACTTGCAGAGTGGGCATTCAGTTGATATTTCTGTTGTTATTGTTGGGTGACCAGATTTGTCATTTTTCCAGTCACCCTTAGCCTTCTGAGGAAGGCTAATCAGAAGAAGAATCAGCCCTACCTTTTCACATCATCCTGAGAAAGTAATAAAAGAGCAGGACGATGATTTTTAAAAATAGTGCTTCAAAACCTTGGAAAGATGCCCAGTGTCCAGTATAGGGCCCCCAAGTGATGGGATAATGAACTTTTGTTATTTTATCCTTTTAAGCAGAAGGGCAATAAGCACCCTATCTCTTCTTGCCAGGGAACTCCCATAAGAGAATGGCAATTTCAAGGCAGCTTCTTTAACAATAGCCATTAGGTAGGTTACGACTATTAGCGATAACCACCAGCATATATAGTCCTGGGTCTCTGAAGAATAAAAGGGACAATCTGAATCCAAATTCCTCACTTTGGCCCTCTTGTCAGAATACCAAAGGGGAGAGATTTTTCTACTCACAGAGGCAACAGATTGAAAAGGAACATGAGATTAGAAGCTCACAGCAGTGAGCTGGCTGGGGCCGCAAGTTTAAGGTGGCATTCCTACAGAAGTTCTCTTGTGGCCAGGAGGCACATGAGGGCGTCCACACTTCTCTCTGAGCTCTCTAGAGCATGAGCTCCTTGCAACTGCTAAGCCTGCCTGGCCCCTAACCTTATTAGGCAGCTATCAAAGAATAATTTGTAATTGCTCATAACCCTCCAGTTGGGAGGCACTACCTCGTCAGGTCAGGATTAGTCATCTGACCAGGGGCATTCTGGGTAAGGTATGTCCTCACTCCCATTTCCAGCTTTTTGCCAACCTAGGGGATGGTGGGATACAAGGGCAAACTCTCTCAACCTGTCCTCCTGGGGTAAGAAATCATGTTACTTTATGTGATCATTACACCCTTTTCATTTTTTCCTCCTCAAGTCCTGTAACATCTGTTCCATAATTTGTAGATGACATGTGAAAACACTGTCATATCCATTCTAGGTAGGATGGCCATGACCCCTTTTTACAGAAGACGACAGCAAAGCCCAAGGAGAGAAAAAGTGATTTGGTCTTTGGCAGGTCAGGGCCCTTGATTTCCCGCTGCTCTTTTGGTTATACTCCAGTTTTGTGACAAACACCTAAGAAGCCCTTCTTTTTGCTTGTTTGAGATGCAGTCTCCCTGTATTGCTCATGAGAGCCTCAAACTCCTGGGCTCAAGCAATCCTCTTGTCTCAGCTTCCCAAGTTGCTGAGACTCCAGGTGTCCACTAACCGCCCTGCCCAGCCTGTGAGACCCTTTAAAAGGGAGGCGCCTCTAGGGTGAATACCTGCTTCCGTTTGGGAAGTCCTACCCTTTCCCTTATTCTTACTCTTTCAGGATCAGTGACATCACATCCCACGCAACAGAGCAAATCAGTCTCCCCTCCTGCTTCCTTGCAGGATCCCAACCAGCAGCGACTCTCAGTGACGCTCAGTAGCACTAACCCCTGATGCCCAAAGCCACCAAATGGACAACATCATCCAGGCACTAATTTCCTCCAATTCTGTCCGAGGAATCCCTTCTCTGGGAAGCTTTCCCGGTGTGCTAAGAAAGAGGTCCAGCTCCAGACCATGAAGGACAGGGGTAAGCCCCTATGGTCGTTATAGAGGACAGTATCATTGAAGATGAGGGACCTGCCCGGGAACCTCCATGCCCAAGGCTCCTCTCCCCCTCCTCATGCCCAGGAAGCATGCGTGGAAATGGAGAAAGGAGGCAGGGGGCCAGGGGCTCAGCCTCCGGGCTGGTGCAGCATCACAAACAGACCTGCCTGGAATAATAAGCGACTCCAATCAACTCTGGTGTCACTGCCAGGCAGGAAGTGAGGGTGAAGGAGGAAAGCCCACAGGGAAGGGAAGCGGCACCAAACTGAAAGCCAGAAGCTTCTTAGGAGCCCCTGAGTCTCCCTCATCCCCAGTGAGGGTTTACTTCTCTCCCATTCAGGAACAGGATGGGGTGGGAGAGAGGTGGAAAGGGAGGGAAACAATATTTCTTGAGTAGGTACAATGTGCCAGGTGCTATATTAGGCATTTTATGTGAGGCATTAGATATATATACTATGATAAATTAATAAATATCAACTCATTAATATTATTTAGTGCTGTCATAGTGGCTGACACATAATGGTTATCATTATTATATATACTGTATCACCAACTCCTCACCAATAACCCTATAAAAGGACATCTTCAGCTGGGCATGGTGGTACGTGCCTATAATCTCAGCTACTCAGAGGTGGATGTAGGAGGAGCAAGGTTCAATGCCAGCCTGGTCAAAGTTATCCAGACCTTATCTTTAAAAAAAGAAAATAAGGGCTGGCAGGGTGACTCAAGTGGTAGAATGTCTGCCTAGCAAGCTTGAAGCCTTGAGTTCAAACCCCAGTGTTGCCAAAACTAACTAACTAACTAACTAAAATAAAAACAAAAGGGTTGAGGACATAGTTCAAGGGTCAGAGTGTTAGGCCCTGGGTTTAATCCTCAGTACAGCCAAAAAAAAAAAAAAAAAAGACATTTATTTTATAGCAGAGAAATGTAGATTTGGAGAGCCAGAATTTGTACCATAGTCAAAAGCTACTCCACCTCAAATACAAGACAAAAGCTGTAAGAAAACAGAAACAAAGATATAAACCTTGATGAGAAGACCATGTAAGTCTACCAATCCCTTGCTCATGACCCTTGGGAGGCTCTGAAACAGATTAGGGGAACACTTACCTCTTTTGACTGGGGAGGTGTGGGATGGACCCACAGTCACTCAGGAACAGATACCTTCCTGATTCTCTCCCCTTACCCCTTGCGGCTACCACCCCTGCCACCAGCCCAAGCCAGATGCTCTGGGCTCCAGGCTGGCACAGTTCCTAGCACATGTGATTCCACCTGGGAAGAACCCAGGGGCGGGGATGCGGATTTCCTTCTCATTGCCATCTCACACCCTTGGCCCTGCATGGCTCAAGCAGTAGAGCACTTGCCTAGCAAGTGTGAAGCCCTGTGTTCAAACCCCAGTATTGCCAAAAAAAATTTTTTTAAAAGAAAGAAAGGAAAGAGAGTAGGCAAAAACCTGGCTATGAAGGGCTT